CCCCTCTGCTGGGGCCTGGGGGCAGGGGACTGCTGGTCACCAGAGGGGCACTGGCTCAGAACTGGCCATCGACAGTTACAGATAGGCCCTGGTCCAAAAAAGGTTGAGAACCACTGGAGTAGATGACCTCCCGAGGTCTAATTTTCTATGATAACTACTTTATTTATTCTACCGCACTCTCGTTTTAAAGCCGTTCTTTTGCCAGTCTTTGCTCCTACCTTACAGCCTTCTCCATGCCTTTAAGTTACTGTTTTTCTTTTATATATAGAATTATACACCAGCTGTTGTTCTACCTGTTATTTAGTTCAAGCTGGTTCTGCTTCTTTCCCAGACCTAAGGAAGGGCACTTTGTGCCTGAATTATACAGTTGATGTGTCCCAATTATACAGCTGATCAAATAAATGATAATCACCAAAAAAAATCCTTGCTTCTCTTCAAATACCATGGGAGTTCTGCCTCCCATTTTAAAGGGAGTGTACTTGGACTCTTAAGCTACAAGAAGTGGGGTGGATTAAGACTGTCCTACCTGATGGATCGGCAACTGGTTCCCAATGTAAATCATCATCTTTATCCTTGATCCAGCCACAGAGACCAATATCAAAGTTACAGCTGTGCACCAGGATACCTACAAAATACAAAACAAAGATGCACAGAAACAGTCCTGGATTCTTGTGGCTGCTGAATTACGCAGCAGCTCAGCATGGATGAAATCTACAACCAAGTCTGCCTGTCAAAATGAAGTACAACATAAGGAGCTACACAAAAAGAATCTGCATCCACATTAGCAAGTCATTGGAGAATAACATTATCATTTTGTTATTTATACATCAACACAGAAGTTGTGTTAGTAAATTTAAAGAGGCAATCTGAGTTGGTAAAGGAAGAAAGAAGACAAATTCATTTAAGGAACAGAATTAAAACAAAGATGCTATCAAAGACAGATATTTAACTTTTGCCTACGCACTTTGTGACAAAAATCACCCTCTGTCTTTCCCAGGATTGGGACGCTTTGGGTTGGGGGATGGAGAATGTAACACCCACACATATTTGGGGTTGTGCGTGGTCAAGTGTCTCTGGATTTATTTTGCTGTGTACTTGTTTGCACTGTATATACTGCTTTCTCTGGACCATCTCCCATTCCTCCTTATTGTGTCCAGACCCTTTGTCTTCAGTTTCCTGCCAAGTAACCTGTGGAACCAGTCTGGTGACTCTGGACACTCCACTGAGGGCTGCTGATCATGTCAGCAGGGTTCAAATAAAGTCTGTTTCTGGTTGGAGCCAGGTGATGAGGTCAGAAAAGTTATTTAAAGGTCTGGTCACCTGGTTTGGGGGGGGGGGGGGGGATCTTCCTCCAGCAGGCATTTTGGAAATAAACATAGAAGCTTGGGCCTCCAGAATCTTCTGGATGTCTTTGTAAGTAGCCTACCTGAAATTTAGCCCCTAAATTAGGGTTATATATTTTTAGCCGTGTGTTGAAAGGGCTGACAAGCCTGTTCTGTTTTGCTCACGGCATTTTTTTTTTTAATACTCCTTGTCTTGTACTGCTTCCCTGTTCTCCCTCTCTCGGATTAATAAAAGCTATCTGATACTACAGACCTAGTTGTGAACGTTTGAGAGGAGGGACAGCCTTTTCGCGCCTAGCAGAGCTTGGCTGATTATTTGATTCTGTTCTACCTGAAAACATCCTGGGTGGCTCCAGGCTATAAGGAGCAACCAGAAATACTAATAGTGGGCAAAGCACCCCCAAGGTCTGCAAAGTCTGTGTACCGCAGGCTGCACAGGGCCCTAACAGACCAGAACCCAGGTGGTGGCAGCGATTACCCCATGCTTGAGGATCCAGGAACGGGGTCAGCTGGACATAGGTGCCCCAGGGGGGACACCCAAAACGTGGTTTTGGTTGGGCACAGTGAGGCAGGTGGGTCAGCATAGTAGTGGCCCCTACTGTCCCACCACATACATTTGTAGCCAAAGAAACATTAAAAAAGAGTTAAAGTATCAATTGGGAGGTGTGATAATTACCTGGATCGTCATTTGCTTCATACTCATCTGCACTAATCCCTTTTTCAATTTCAAATATTTCAAATAGATTATTGCTCACTCCTGGCTGGCGTGGAACTGTAAGAGAAAGTATTGAATAAAACGTATGAGATGGATAAGGAAGCATGCTGCTAGCTACCTTTATCTTTAATAAAAAAAAGAAACCAAAAGAAAGCTTCAGGCATTGTGCTCTTCTTGGAGCATTCAATATACTTAATTGTATTTTGCATGAAGATTCATAAACTGCCTACCTCAGTGATTTATGCTGTAACATTTGTCTGGGACCCATAAAACACGATTCCAAATGTTTCAAGGGCTCCTTAAATGAAAAATGTTTTTAAAAAAAGTCCTGTCCTTGAAACAGTTTCTCCCCAGAGCTCTTCTTCAGAAAAGCAGTTTCTATGTACAATAAAATGGTACAAAGCATTCTGTGATAAGGCCCCTATACAGCAGCTTCTCAAGGGTCTGGAGCCAACTTTCACCCAGGGGAGTCTTCAACTGACATCATGGTCACATAGGAGAATAAGCAATAATGTCTTATGCATCTGAACAGCACTTGGAAACACAGAGGCCATGATATGACTA